CTCGACAAGCTCTCCGCAGAATTCGTTGCTACATTGAGAACCCCATATTCATGAGCAAACAATCAAACTGGGCATGCTGCTGGTTAAGATCAAGGGACCCCAACTGCAAAAGACGCAGGTCCAACCAGAAGCCGATGCTGTTCTGGAACCTCTCATGGATCTTCTGGAAGGTTCGCTGAGACGATATGCAGATCAGTGTGAAAAGACAGTGCTCAAGTACATTCTCAAGGAGTTGTGGAAAATAACAATTGTGAATATGGAGAAGAGAGTTGTACTACCCCCTCTGTCAGATAAGGCACTTCTCAAACAACTTCCAAATGCAAAGATCGGAGATGTTACGAAGCTCATGTCTACTAATATTCAAAGTATCAAAGGAATGAACTCTGTGAAGGATATGATGGATATTGCTAGAGAATCAGAGAAATCGCTTACTCCGAAACAATGCACGGCGCTGGATTGTGCTTTGGATGCTATTANAGACAGTTTCCATGCGTCTGGAAAGGGTTTGAAGAAGTCGTTCTTCGAGAAATCACCGGAACTTCAATCCCTGAAATATGCTCTCAGTTTGTATACACAGACAACCGAGCAATTGATCAAGACGTTTATTACAAGCCAGAGACAACAAGGTAAGAGGAAGAAGATCAAAGGTTTATTGATTTATCGATTTTTTGTAGATCTTCCAAGTCAAGAACAACCAGTTGGAGAGGTCAGTGTACAAGTCGATTTATTCAGTCATCCAGGAACTGGCGAGCAGAAAGTCACCGTTAAAAGTGAGCAATTTTCTTATTTCAATTTTTTAAAATTTGGATTCAAATCGAATTTTCAATTTTCCAGTCCTTGCTGCCAACGATCTCCGCTGGCAAACGTCATCAGCATTCAAGCCATTTGTCGAAGTCCATCTCGTTGGACCACATCTCTCGGACAAAAAACGCAAATGTGCCACGAAGAGCAAACCTGGAAACTGGGCTCCGAAGTTTAATGAAACGTTTCATTTGTAAGTATGATCTACTGTAATCATACAGTAACATATTTTTAGCTTCCTCGGAAATGAAGGAGAACCTGAGCACTACGAGCTCATGTTCCAAGTCAAGGACTACTGCTTCGCCCGTGAAGATCGCATCGTGGGTGTTGGTGTCCTTCAGTTGTCGGCTGTCGTTGATCAAGGTATACTGTTTGCGCCTTTTATACTTTTAATCAAAAATTTGTTACAGCGGGATCCTGCGCAATGTGGGTACAACTCGGTACTCGTCTTCACATCGACGAGACTGGTCTCATCTTGTTGAGGATTCTATCGCAACGACAGACTGATGAGGTAAGAGAGAGAGAGAGAGAGAGAGAGAGAGAGAGAGAGAGAGAGAGAGAGAGGGGGGGGGTGCAGAGAAACGAGAGTGTCTGCTTTCTCTGCGTCCAGTGTAGACTTGAAAGATCAGCTCCGCGTCACTTCGAAACCGGTTCAAAACCGTGGTAATGCAGGTGAATGGATGAATTTCAGACTGCAAAAACAACTTTAGGGTTTTAAAATATGATTTTCCTGGTAGAACAAATTAAAGAATTTTTCTACTTTTGAGAACATCAAATTTTGAATTTTTCCGATTTTCAGAATGTGTTCTACCATAAAAAAGCGTATTTGAAAAAACAAGCCTAAAGTTGTTTTTGTAGTCTGAAATTGATCCATTCGCCTACATTACCACGGTTTCGAAATGGCCGGTTTTTTGACGCGAAGCCGAAGGATCCTAGGGGCGCGGCGCTTAAAGGAACCCATAACTTTCTTCAAAACAAATATAACAAAAATCTATAAATTGATGAAATGTGTAAAATTTTAGGCTTTTCCTATAAATTTCAGCCGGAAAGCTTACCCAGGGGGAAAGTTATTCACGATTTATTCCAAAATCCCAAAAAATTACCAAATTGAAAATTTGAATTTTTTCCTTAAAAAACTTGAGATTTTTCATTTTCCAGGGGACACCCCTGGAAAGTGTATAATTGTGACGCGGCCTAAAAAGTGACTTTTCAGAACTGTGGGCATAAAAATGGCTCAATTAATCTGGAATTTTGTGAACATAGGTTCTTCCACACTCTGAATCGAACCAGGGATGTGCGTAAAATTTTTATTTTACGAATTACAAGCTCGTAAAATCGTAAAATTCGTTAAATCCGTAAAAAAACTGAATCTTTAATTGAAATGGAAAAAAAACTGCAGTTTTATTATTAAGCAATTGGCAAATGGTCCGCAAATGTTGAAAATCGTAGAACCGAATGCTTCTATAGGGTTTCAACAATTTTCTATATTTTTTTTTCCTTAAAAAATGCAAAATTGTGAGAAAAACGCATTCAAATTTGGAAAAAAAAATATTTTGAAAATGAAGCAAAATTCATGCTTTAAAATGAGATGTGAGCATAAAATCAACTCAAAACTAGATCAAGAACATGAAAATGAACCGGAATACTGTAAATTCTGAACAAAAACGGTGAAAAAACACTCATCCAGTTTTTACGAATTTTACGGATTTAATTTTACGAGTACCAAAACACCTTAAAATCCGAAAAATTCGTAAAATTCGTAAACGTAAAATCACATCCCTGAATCGAACTGCATTCACAGAATTTAGTTATCTTTTTTGGTTTTTTCGGAACACTCATTTGGGAGGTGTGTCCTATAATTATGACGCGCACTGTACCTCAAAAGTTACAACCAATCAAATCTTGCAGGTCGCCAAAGATTTCGTCCGCCTGAAAACCGAATGCCGTTACGAGACGGAAACCGTGATGGCCGCATCGGCTTCCAGTCAAAACATCAATAGAACGTGATAAAAGTGCCTTTAAAAATCCTTTAAAAAAACAAAGCAATAGTTTCCCCACCCGTTTTACTTTTTTCCCCAAACTCGAGTACCTGTAAATTTTGTCTTCTGAGATTCTTTTTTTTACTTCCTACATTTTCAAATCTTCTAATTCTTTCAAATGTTCTTTTAACTACAACATGGGTTTTAATTTTTTTGTTGTTTGTTTGTTTTTTGCGACCAAAATTTTATATATTTTACTCCCTTTTTTCGGTCACCAATTGACCGTTGCTTTTGTGCCTTTTTTGGGATCACCCAAAAATAATTAAAATTTTAATAAAGTTTTATGAAATATGAATCGAAACGTGTGACCATTTGACCTCAAAATTGTCGCCGAAAGTTGACACAGTTAGCAACGTGGCGTCTGAAACTGCCAGCAAGCACAAAAAAGACTCTGAAAATTTCAAAATCCCAAAGATGCTCCGCTCGATGCTCACTGAGCTCCGACGCTCGTCTCAACTGCAATGGACACTGTTTTCAGTGGTTGTGAATATGTCATTAACTCTGGCAATTTGGATTGGAATCTATCATATGGAAGTGAATTCTGAGCTCAGTAAAATGTACTTTTTGGATGATTCGTTCAATTGGACAACCGGGAATCCGGCGTTAGATGGATTGGTAGGTAGTCAAGATCACTTCCTTCAAATACATTAGTTTTTATGTTTTAAGCTACCGTAAACAATTTCGGAAACTCCAAAACTTGGAAACTTAGAAAATTAGAAAAAAATCTGGAATATTTTTGGACACAATTTAACTTTTGTGTCTTCTTCCGAAGTTTTGAACCTAGAGTTTTTTTTTGAAAAGCTCTGGAGTTATTCCGAATTCTAAATTTATTGAATTCCTGAAATTTTTTGAAAAAGAGGTCATGATGTTCGAAACTACAGTAATCGCAATTCGTAATTCTACTACAGTATTCCTCGTCAGTCCCAGTAGTACTTCCTCCTCCATATGCAATAATATTTAAATTACCCAGCTACAGTAACCGATTTCCGAATTACTGAATTCCTAAAGCTTTCGAATTTCGGATTTTTTTTCTAAATTTCGGGTTTTCAAAAATTTCTGAATTCTTTAGTTTTTTCATATCTGAATTTGTGAAATCTCAGAACCTAGGATTATTTTTCAGATCAACGGCTTCTGTACCATCCTGGTTCTCGGTTGTGTCTCTTTCGTGATGCTTGCTTTCGTTCTTTACGATTTCCGTCGAATCGTCAAATCATGGCTCACATTTTCGTGTCTTCTGATCCTTTTCGGTGTTTCTGGACAGACGATTTATGATTTATTTTCTCAGATTTTTGATCAAAATGATGAGAATCAATTCATTTTGACAGTGGCATTGACTGTAATTCCAACAGTTGTCTATGGATGTTTGGGCATTTATGTGAGGGTTTTTTTATTTATGTTTGGAATTTCTTAGTTTTTGGAATCTTAGAACTTGAGAAACTTAAATTCCAAAAAAAAATCAAGTTTTCCACAAGCTTAGCAGAATGTGAAAAACAGTCAATTTTGAAGCCCTACAAAAGTTGTACAAAATTTTTGGACTTATCTAAAGATTTCAGAGTAGACGAATCAAAAATAGAGCTTTATTTTTGTAGTTGACCACTTTTCTGTGCAAACGCGCTATAACAAGATATATCAAGCGGAAGTGGTAGGCCCGCGCCGCCACCTCCCCCTTCGTATAGAGGTGCGACGCCTCTATGCCTCTTATCTCATTAGGGCGCGTTTGCGCAAAAAAGTTGTCAATTACAAAATTAATGCTCTATTTTTGTTTAGTTTATTCTGTGATTTTCAGGTAAATAAGAACATTTGGAAGTGCTCCTGTAATCTTCAAATTAGGATTTTTCATTGAAAAAAACACTTTAAAAATTTTTTTTAGTCCTTTTCCATATTCCAAGTTTCAAAAAATCTAAAAGTTTCCAGGCATTCCTTGCCAACGGATCACTCCTACTTCATCAATTTTTCGTCGTCTCCAACTGTTCATTGATCGCAGTTTTCTATCTCCGAGCATTTCCAAAACACACGACTTGGTTTGTCCTGTGGACTGTTCTTTTTTGGGGTGAGCCGGGATTTTTCTGGATTTTTCTGGAATTATCGGAAATTGAAATTTTCGTGGAACCCAGATTTTTAAACACAGAAAGAGTGTAAAAATTTTCAGACTTGTTCGCAGTTCTCGCCCCAATGGGACCACTCAAAAAAGTCCAAGAAAAAGCGTCCGACTACAGTAATAACGTAAATTGCGGCCTAGAAAATCATGGCCTAGAAAAAAACTCTTCCAGATTCTGAAAATCCTCATGTTTGCCGCAGAAGACAAACGAGAGAGTGCTGGAATGGATATGGCGCAGGATTCTCAGGAAAATTTGAATGACGAAAGAAAACTTCGAAAAGATGTAAAGGAATTGATTCAGTTGTATTCGAAACAGGATGAAAAGGATGACGAATTCCTACAAAAAATCCGACAGAGAAGGAATGCGATTAATCCGGATTCAGGAAGCACTGCGCATAGTCCCATGGGTAAATGTGCTCCATTGATAACTCAGATGGACCTCAACTTTCAGTGACCACCGAACCATCGCCAATTGTCCTGAAAGAGAAGAACAGCGATGAAGAGTTATTCGATAATGAATCTGATACAACAGAATCATCTTCTGAATCCTCAACGTCATCTGAATCTGTGTTCTCATCATCTGATGTTAGTACTGCTGCCGAATGTGCTCCAGAAGAGTGGAATGAGTTGATTCATCAACAAAACGAATTTGATCAGAACGATGCTACAGTAACTGCTGCTGACGCTTTGAATGATGGAGGTAACTTATAATGATTTTCAGTTGAGAGTGGATAATTTTGGATTCCTACGAAAGTAGTCCAGAATTTTTCGATTTATCTGAAATGTTCAGAGTATATTAAACAAAAATAGAGCTTTAATTTTGTAGTTGACAACTTTTTGCAGATACCCGTAATGAGATATGACGCATAAAAATACAAAAATGAAGCTTTATTTTTGTTTAGCATACTCAAAAATTTCCAGTCAAATCGAAAAATTCTGGAAGACTGTTTTCTGAGATATGCCGATTTCCAGAAACTGTTCGTCTTGGATTCGGAGACTTTGTTTTCTATAGCCTTCTAATTGGACAAGCAGCCACTGGTGGATGCCCGATTTCTGTTGGATTCGCCGCTTTTGGAATTCTTTTTGGTCTTATTGCAACCCTTACTGTACTTTCTAGCGGTAAATATTACAATAATATTTTTGCAATCTCTATGAAAAGTTTCCAGAAGAGTCCACGACTCCTGCTTTGCCATTACCTGTCATCTGTGGAACTTTTTGCTATTTCGTTTCCAGATTTTTGGTCGATTCGATTCAGGAATTTTGGGTCTAGAGAGGATGAGATAAACTTGTTTAAAACTTTTCGCTGATAAATAAAGTGATTTGTAATATTTTTCGGATAATTTTCTATTAGATGCAGTTTTACAAAAATGACATATAAAATAAACGTGTATGATTCATATCTGTCTTCTTTCACTTTCTCTCTCCCATTGGATGAACGATCGTTTCCAAAATCGAAGTTTCATATCATTCGATAAGGTTTACATTCTCTAGAAAAAAAAGTGCGTCCCGCTTTTTATGTTTCTTATCAGTTTCATAAGCCGTTAATTTTTTGTCTAGGGTAGCAGGAAAAAAATTATGGAAATGAGAATAACAGTTTAAAGTACGTTCTACTGTTCCCATGATTTTTGGTTTCGTCAAAACAGCCATTTTATTTATCTGTTAGTGATTCATAAAATATGAAATTTATCTGTTTTCTGTTTTCCGTTCTCTTTGTTCGCTCTGATTCTTCCTTCTCTGATTGTGAGGCACACACTTGGGTCCAAGGCAACGGGTCAAAAAACGCGCCCCAAATAACTTTTAGGCCAGAAGAAACTCAGAAATTTCGAAGCTGGCGTGAATTTGACCTAATTAATTTTAATCGACGAGTTGCAATGTGTGATTTTTTCGCGCAACGTTTGAAAGTTTGATCCTCAGTCAAATAATTCAGAAGCAGTTTTTTCTAAAATCTCAATTTTATTGGGTCGCGATTTCTAACCCGTTGCCTTCGACCCAAGTGGGCACATTGAGAACATATTTCTCGGAAAACTTTTTTTTTTAAGCTGAGAGTTGAACTTTTCAATTTTTCGATAGGAGGAGAAAGCCGATGATAATGACTAAAAGTGCCGGAACAAATATTATCGTAATCTTCAAAAAGTTTTATTTTTATTGGACTTCTTCCTCTTGATTTCGGGAAACTGTCTTCTAGTGTTTTCAGAAAACCTCGCTCGCCATTCGCAACCGCGGATTTTGCCAGAGCATGTTGTGCGATTTCTCATTTTCTCACATTTTAGTATTTCAGCAGTTTTTCACACATTTAGAACTATGATGGGAAGAAGAAATCACCGGTTCGGAGGAGCGGAGCGTTTTTTTACCACTGTGAATTCTTGAAAACGCAAAATAAAGTTCTTGTGTCCTCTCGTGTCGTATAGTTGTTATCAGTCCCTCTTTTTTGTGTCCATTATCTAATTTTATCATTTCAGTACGTAAGAAAAAAAATAGTCCATGAAGAATGACATTTATTTCTTCTCTTGGTTTATGGTACCGGCTACAAGTATGTAAACGCTTATCGTTTTGAGAAAACATGCACTGCTTTTGATAGTTCGTTCTCCTCTATTTTTTTTTTGGTTTTCAAGTACTTTTTGGAAAAGGACACTCTTCCAACTAGCTAGGTTTTTAAAATATATTCAGAATTGAAAGAAGCTATTATATCCGGTCAATCAGTTAGATTCTCCCAATTGCAATCCATTTTTCAGATCCGAAAATCCATGGGTGCATTAACAATGGGAGAGGAATTACTGTGGACCGCAGTTTCGATGTTTTGCACATTTTTGTGCAAATTTCGTATTTAGTTGATTTTGGAAAACGATGCTTCACAAGAACACCTTCTCCATTGGACCCTATTGATTGGCCAGCAATGCCCCGGGTGGTCCGAGAAAAAGTGGTTGATTTTTTGGATATAAAAACCAGGTAGATCAAATTTTTACATCTAACTTTGACCAAATTTGTCTTGGTTCCTCTAAAAGGTATCAAAAAGTTGTCAACTGATAAAATTTTTATGATGATATCAAATATATTGGGTTAGTTGAACACTTTTTGATACTTTTTACAGGAACCAAGACAAGTTTGGTCATAGTTGGCGACCGCTAACAGCTGAGAAACGGGGGAGGAAGTTGCGCCTCCGACCGATGACATTTATGAAAGCGGCACGACAGCTACGAGCTTTATGTACACAGTCACGTCGAAATGCATGCTTTCTCTTTTGAAAACTTCTGAAGATCCACTAATTTTTCCAGATATGCCCTCCGCCGCTGCTCCAAATCTGACCAAGCTCTTGTGGAGCGTAGTTTGAAAATCATCGAAGCCGAGTTTGTATTCCTAAAAATCTTTGACGACAAAATCGATGTTGATGTAATGCAAAAAAAGTTCCGTGGAATTTTTTACTTCAAAACTTTTACATGTCCCAGCGAAGCAGCAACGGTGTTAAGAAGCATTTTGAAGCGAGTTCTAACTAAAAATCTAGTCATCGAATGCCATAAAATACACAACCTTCGTCGATTTCTAGAAGCCTGGGCTCCGGAAGAGCATAATGTGAAGATTCGAACAATAAAACTGACATGGAACTGTCAAATGGAAAGTGCCAGAGAATTGCGAAGAGTTTTGGCATTGGTTCAGAATGATTTAGTGACCGAAGTTCTTGTTAATGACGGATTTTTGATAAATCTTGATTGGTTGATGAGAAGCAAGTTTTGGAATCTACTAAAAGCAGTTTACCCACATCAGGATGTCTTCATTGATGTCCAAAAACATTGTTCCTTGAAAGTGGTTGAAATTTATTTTGTTGGGGTCGACGACGATGGAAGCTGTTATAAAAAGGAGGTGAGTGGAAACTCACTCAACTTTAACAAGTTTTATCTCATTTCCTATAAGATATATCAAAAATCTGTCAACTGATAAAAAGTTATTGATTCTATGATAAATATTTCGTTTTAAGACTTTCTAATATCTTTCACAGGAAATGAGATAATTTAACCCAAATTTGCCAGTTTAAACGGCTCAAGGTCTCCCACACCGTCAACTTTGAGTCCATATATCTCGTTCTCTGCAAAAGGTATCAACCTGTTTGGTATCTTTTACAAAAACCGAGATAAATCATTTCAAAGTTGGTAGCTCTGAATTTCAGAAAAAAAATTCGTGTTTTTCTCGATTTTGAACAGTACAAGATGCGACTTATAATTAGTGGGAAAACATTTTCGAGAAATTTTTATTTAATTTTAAAAACGGCGTGTTCTGCATTCCGAAGAAGAAAATGAACCAAGAAAAAATGGGCGGAGTCAGGGGGTTGAAGTAAAGATGAGCGCACCTTGAAATATAAGCTCCGCCCACTTTTCTTGGGAAATTTTCATTAAAAGGACAGATAATTTATCAAAAAAAAAGTTATTTATCTGAAAATGCATATTTTTTACATTATGAATAAATTGGAAAACCTCTGAAAATTACTTCGAATTCAGTCAATGTTTAGAGAATTCTAGAATGTTCATAAAATATTTTTGAACTCCCGCCAAAACTGAAAATCCTGTTTTTTGAGGCACTTTTTTTTCAAAAAACCGGGAATCTTCTAAAAGTTTCCAGTATTGGCTATTCAAAGCGATTTGTTTTTCTGAAATTTTCAATTTTCAGTTTTCAAAAAAAAGTTTTAGGTTCTCCGCACCGAAGATCCATCGGCATTTTATGAAGACGATGTCGATTCTATTCATCTTCCAAGACAAACTTTCACTTTTTCCGAAATTACAGAGAGATTGAAGAGACTTGAAGTAGGGTATGTTGGATGCGTTTTTAGTTGGATTTTCTAGCCCACAATTTGCAATTTTCAGACTACAATGGGATGAAGAAGAAAAGAGCAGTTGGCTGGGCCAAAAAAATCAGTTTTAAATTTTCAGATATTGAATCAGTTGGCAGGACCAAAAAAAACTTTTTTAAAGAATATTTTATATTTTTATTTCAATTTCCTTTTTAGCAAACTTTAAATTTATTGATATTTCATTAGCTGGACCAATAAAAATTATATGTTTTCGTATTCTCAAATAAAAAAAAATAATTTCTTATGTTTTCAAAATTTACACAGTTGGAGACACCACTTCCTTCTTTTTATCTTCCTACGCATCAAACGAAAAGAGAACAAAAAATCCAATTAACTTTTTTTGGAAAAAAAAATTGAAAAAAGTTTTTGGAAACCAAAGATGGAAGAGAAAAGTGTCATGTGAATTTATACATCAATCTGTCACTTTCTCTTTTGAAACCAAAAAAGTGACCTCTGTAACTTTTGGACATGAAATTGTTCGCTGATAAGAATAATACTTTTTGCCTAGAGAATTTTTTATATTTTCGAAAAAGAAGGTTTTCAGATTTTCTATGAATTTGGAGTTCTTGATCTACCCGAACAATCCTTTAACATTTTTTATACAGGAGGTTAGAAGAAAAATTTTTCCAGATTTTTATAGATATTTCCAGAACTTTCCGATGCTGGAACCCTACCGGAAACGGATCATCAAATTGGCTAGATTGGTTTATTTTTATATTTACTCATTCATTTTTCTACAAAATCAAGAGACCTTGAATTGGAGGCAGGTACCTGCTCACGTTAGAAGAATGGTCGTGCAGAAGTTGGATAAAAGTACTAGGTGAGTATAAGCTTAACTATCGCGGTTCCCATGAGAGATATGAAAATTTTGCCAGTTGATGAAATATTGCCGATTTTATGGTAAACATTTTGTCTGTTGACAACTTTTTTATATCTTTCACAGAAATCGAGATAAAATAATTTTTTAAAAAGTTAAAGGTTTTAAAATACTCTAGTGAGCCTGAACGCTGTTATTGTCTTCTGTGATTATGAGACTACTAGATTTCTGGAAATACAATAAGTTTACTGTCGATATGTACCGTTTTCATCATAATTAAATTATTTTGAGCCAAGATATGATGCTGTGTATTCTCGAGCTACGCGGTCAATAAACGCTGGCTGTCCGCGTAGCTCAGCGGATAGCAACGAGGCACCTCCATCGGTGGGCCCACAAGTTCAACTCCTCGAGGGCCGCATTTGAAAAAAATTCTAAGAATTTTTTACAAAAAAGCAGAGGTTTGAAGTTTTTGATTTTTCAGAGCTACCCTCCGCCAATGCTCTAAACACGACCGCGATCTAGTTGACTCATCGCCAACCATCCACCTGGATACTGTGGAAATATTCGTTACAAAGAATTATGTGTCCATCTTGATTCCAGAGATCCAAAGTTCAAGTTTCATTCAAATGTTCAGTAGATTGGAACCATTGGTGGGGCTTTTGAGGAGAACTCGAATCAAGAATCTAAAAATCGAGAGCTATGATTCGAACCATGTTGGAGAGCTCTTTAACCGAATTTCCACTTTGGATTTTAATCTCACGATTCTCGCAAAATTTATCAGTTGGAATTGTAGAACTGAAACGAGTCGAGAGCTCAGGAAGTTTTTGTCAATTTTGGATCGAAAATGTTTGAGAGAGATCCATGTGAAGGATGCGTTTTTGATGAATTTGGACTTATTGATGGAGACCTCGAAATGGAAATTGATCAAGAATATGTACAATCAAGATGATGTTTTCTTGGAAGTTGAGAAGAATTTCCTATTGAAAAAAGTTCTTTTGAAGATTTATACACTTAATGAGTATAATACATTGGAATTGGCGGAGGTAAGTTAAACCGTCAACTTTGAACCCATATATCTCGTTTCCTGTAAAAGATATGAGAAAGTATTCAACTCACAAAATGTTTATCATAATATCGAAAATAATTATTCAATTGACTACTTTTTTATATCTTTCACAGGAAATAAGATAGGGGTTCAATCTTGACGGCGTGTTGGGGGAGGACATTTTGTTAAACTTTTCAGAAATTCGAAATCGGCGATGAAAACCTATTTGAAAACTGTGAAAATGATCAAGTTTACACATTTCAAGAGCTTTCTGGAACACTCGATAGAGTACTTGGTAGGTCCAAATTTGTTGTAAATCCCGGGTCCCTAACTTTGGCGCGATTTATCTCGTGTCCTGTAACAGATATCAAAAATTTGTCAACTAATAAAATATTGTTGATATCATGAAAAACATTTTATCAGTTGAAAAATTTCGATATCTTTAATAGGAAACGAGATAAATTGGCTTGAAGTTAAAGGGCACTTGACGCTAATGCGATTCCCAACGCTTGCACTTTGTTATCTCGTTACCTGTAAAAGACATCAAAATATCTCGTTACCTGTAGAGACATCAAAATATCTCGTTACCTGTAAGAGACATCAAAAAACTATAAACTACAAAACTGTGTGTTCTATTTTAGTAAAAATTTTATTAGTTCAAGGATTTTTGACTTTGGTAGGAACCGAGAAAAATTGGCTCAAAGTTAGAAGTTTTTAGTGGGTTACTGTAGCAAATTTATTTTTTAAACCCAATTTTTTGTGTTTTTTACAGATGTCACAAAAGCTTAATATCACAAAGGAAAACAATTTTGAGCTCGAATTCATATATGATGAGTTGAATAAGTTATAAGGAACATTTATATAGGAACATTTGTTTATTATTCAATGATTTTTCTATGTTTTTTCTCCGTTTTTATGTGATAGTGTGAATTAGTTTTCTAACGTTTTGAATAAACTATTTTATTGAAATGTGAAATTTTACTTGAAACTTCTCTGTCGAAATAACTAACTCGTTCCAAACAACTGCCAAACAACACACACTCGATCTTTTTCTTTTCCCCCGTTTTATATTTGCCATCTCACTCATGCCATTTTGTAGCCGCCATAGCTCAGTCGGTTAGAGCGTGGGTCTAATAAGCCCACACAGGTCCTGGGCGATGATGCGCATAATGGATGGGAGATGAAGGACGCGCCGATGAATTGGGTACAGGGAAACGGCACCGGTATGGGGCATATACGGGGCATATGGGGCACACCGCCGCCGCAAAGCATCTCCTCGCCTGGCTTGCTGGCACTTGATAAAATGAACTAAACCGTTCAGTGGGAGTTCCTAGAGATATCAATTGAGTGCTATTGTGATGTGATCTTGTTTAGGTCTTCCAATTTCGTACTTCTTAATAAATAAGCCTCTATTTTTTATATTTCGACCGACATATTTCTGATTTTTCGAAACTTAATATTTTGATCTTGAAAAAGACTTATGGCAGTTTTACTCGAAATTTGAGATGAAAATTCGTATTTCAAAATCACAAGAAAAGAAGAAAGAAATCACTAGAGAAAGTTTTTATTTTTCGAAAACTATGTCTCACTTTCACTTTTTCTTCGAGATTACATGTAAAAATTGAAAAATGTTCTTGATTTGCACTTTGTAATTATTGTATACTTACCAACTTACCTTTTATTCCACCTGAAAATACCAGTTTTACAATAATTACAAAGTGAAGATAGAAAATTCTCAATTTCACCTATTTTACCGAAAAACATGGAAATATATGAGTGAAAGACATGTTTTGACAAGAATTTAGCGATTTTTCAGTGTGACATAACTTTTTTTCAAGAAAAACATCGAAACATCAGAAATGTAGGCTCGAATTGACGAAAAATTGACAAAGTTGCCGATGTGGATTTACGGTAAACAATGCGCGCATCCGGGATTTCGGAGTGTTGTAGTTGGCCTACCGTATCAGACCCATATCGCACACATCGCCCACCCACCTAGAATCCATCTAGGATACGCGCGCATTCGGAACACTCGATTCAGCCTCTCCCGCATCGCACACATATAAGACTCATCGCGACTCATTGTTCGTGATATGTGTCAAACGGACTTCTAGAGGATCGCATATGGATCGGGTCCTTTATGCGCATCATCGCCCAGGACCTGTGCAAGGTCGCAGGTTCGACCCCTTCTGGCGGCAAACCTTTTTTCCTTGTTTCATCATTTTTTATCACTTATCATAAAACATTCCTTTTCCTTGTTTGCCAACACTCTGGTGTATGCTTTGTTTGCTGTAAATTTACTTGCCTTCTATTATACAACTGCTCTTGGAAACAATGAAGTGAGTTTTTTTCATAAAGAAGTTTTTTTTTAAACTTTTCAGCATTGGATATTGGAGAGGGAATTCAGACAGTTCTAGAAAAATAGATTCGAATCTTGAAAAAGTGAAATTGGAACTAACTCATGATAGAACTTCATTGGAAATTCAAAATTCTGATAATTCTACCCAAAGATATTCATTTTTTCCAGAAGTTCTAGAATTTTTCTGCCAAATTTTCAAAAATCGAGAAACCAACATCAAATGGCTGGAAATCGAATGCTCTAACAACAAAGAAGCTGTTTCTAAACTAAATTTAATTTTACTGGAAGCTCAAAATTCTGCAACAAATCGAATTAAAATTCAAAACATTTTTTGGAATCAAGGAAGTTTTTCGGAACTTTCTTGTCAACTTTTACTTGAATTAGTCCTGATGGAGCATTTGGAATCATTGAATTTCTTCATGGAATCTAGTGAAAAAATCAATTGGTTATTGGAAAAGACTAAGGAGAAAAAGAGATTTTTATATTCTACAAATTTTGTAGATGGAAGAATTCGAACACTGGAAACATATCAGTTGAAATGTGAAGAGCTGAAATGGGAAAACGTTGAAAATATGATCGAGGTACAGTAGTTTACTGTAGTCCACAAAAAAAACGATCTATTCAGAACTGCCAAACCTGGCCAATAAATCTTCTCCAAAAGCAACGATTTCCTGAAAAAACGTACTTTCAAGTCTATGGGAATATCTCGGAAAATATAATGAGAGATCTGAAACATCTCTCATCCTTGTGAGTTTTCCTTTTTTTTCAAATGTCAGATTGAAAATTCAAAATTTTCAGTGATTCTGAAAACGGATCAGTGCTCATTTTCAATACTTGTGACACCACCAAACAACTGCGTATAACGTTGAGTGATGGAGAAACTGATAAGATGTTACAAGCGATTTTAGTATCGAAATAATTGATTATGAAATTTTGAAAGTTTTGGTGATAAAATTTTCTGACATTTTTGTGTTGTTCATTACTTATTGGTTGTAGAATTCCAGATTTCCGTATTTTTCGGTTTTACTGGAACCTCACAATCTTAGAATCTCAAAAACAAATGTTTAGGGTCAATGTCTTCAGAACCAAAGGTATCAGCAACAACGGCCGGCCGAGGATATAGAAAAAATTAAATTCTAAGTTTTTGTTTTAATGCTTCAGAACTTTTGAATTTTGTAGAATCTCAGAACCTCAGGATCTTAGAATTTCAGACTTTCATAAATACAGAATATCCCTTTCTTCTGAATTTTTCAATTTTAGAATTTCAGAATTTCGGATTTTCCGAATTTCAGAATTTCAGAAATTCAAAATCCCAAAATTTCAGAATTTCAGAATTTCCGATTTTCAGAATTTCAAAATTTCAGAATTTCAGATTTTCATAAAATTCCAAATTTCGCAGTTTCATAGCTCATTTACATTCCATTTTGCTGGCCATTCTCAAGAATGGATAATAATTTTTCAGAAATTTTTTGGATAAAAATGCAAAAAATTTAAAATTTCACTTTCAATTATTTAGTATTTCTTCTCCTTTTAGAATGTCGTCAGAGCTTCGTTTCTGTTACATTCTCTATGTCTCGACCCTTTACACTCAACAGATAAATTGTTTTGCCCTAAATTTGTTCTCTCCCAAAAAAAAACCGGTTTTTTTAGTTTCCCCCTCTCCGCCATTTTTGATTCTCGCCGTTTCATTCATTTTAGTATTTTCCCCTGGCGCAGTGTTTATGTGCCTTTAAAGGTGGGGGGACATGAAAAAAATTATTTTCTCGAAATTCCGTTTACATACGCCCCTCGAGGAGTTGAACTTGTGAGGGCGCACAGGTAGAGGGGGACTGCTGAAAAACTGCTAAATGACAGCTGAAGAGGCGCAAACTGGCGAATGACTGCTAGTTGGCAGCCGAAGGAGAACTGACGGGCCGTCGACGGTCCGTCGACGGACAGTCGGAACCCCTCGGAAAACAGACTTGAAGGTTCTGATTGGAAATCATGCAGAAAACAATTTCTCATACTCCCACTAGATTATAAGAAATGATAGAATCTTATTTTCCTCAAATATGACCACCTCAAAAAATAGGTTGTTGAACGACTGCTAAATGACAGTCGAAGAGGCGCTGACTGGCCAACGACCGGTGGTTGGCGGTCCAAATTCCTTCAGAATGGAAAATTTTGTTGAAAAAATAGTTCTCTCTAAAAACATCATAAAAGTCATAGAGGGGTCTGGGAAGCTAAAAATGCGTTATTAGAAGCATTTCTATATCAATTAGGATTTGAGGCGCGGTTGGTGAAAAACTGCTAAATGACATTCGAATAGGCGCTGACTGGTTGATGGCGGCTGAATAAAAAAATATGTTTGAACATTACTTGGTATATATCTAGAAGCATGTGTTAGCATTTTCGTGTTACAAGATCTTTACTCGAGTTGTCATTGCATGATAATAATCAATCGTTCAGGACATATGTTCTCGGTCATATTTTTCAATTTGCTTAAGATTTCCGACGAAATTTGTTTCTAATTTTGTACAATTTGTGTCTGAAAGTGCTATTTTTCCGTTTTTCTTCAAAAATCACAACAATTCGTTTTTAAATGCCGTTTTATAACTGCCGAGTTTCAAAATTTCGGTCATAGAGATTTTCAACGACACTCCGAAATCCCGCAACGACACTCCGAAATCCCGGCCGCGCCTTGTTTAGCGGCACAAGACTTTACTAATTTTTCGCCTTTTTTTCAGTTTCTTTCGCTTTTCGAAGGGTTCTCTTATTGAAATTCAGTATTTTTCGCTTAATTTATCTAGCTACTGGCATAAAGAAGCACTGAAAAGCTTTGCGCACTTTCGCTCTGCGCGTTTTTAGTTGAAAACGCAGAAAAAATCGGCGAAAACTCCTTGCGATGAAAGTTTCGAAAGTTTCGCTATTTTTTGCTTCGGAACGTTACAAATGCAGCCTTTCAGGAGTTTTTATATGGTGAGTTGGTAAGTTTTCATACGTTCCGAAGCAAAAACTATCGTAAACTCTGAAATTGTTCATGCGTTGTCGAAAATTCACCTCGCCGATACTTCATAGGTGTGACGTTTTGCAAGTGCAATGTTTGGAAAGTAACAAATTTGCAAGGTTCGCACAAAAATTAATACGAAGATCAGTTTTTGCTGTTTCTGACTCGTTTTTTAAATTTCACATGCGAAACGTCGCCCTTTTGAAGTCTGCTTTAAAAATGCCGCAGACCATAAAAATCTAAAGATTTTTTACTTGCCAGTTTTTAGTGTTGCGAACGCATCAATTTTATTTATTTTGAACGTACTTATAAGCGAAAAATACTGTTCAATGAGAGAAATGACATACCGAAAAACGAAAAAAGTTGAAAGGGAGAAACGAAGAAGAGAAAGAGGAAGAAAGGAAATAAAAAAAGCTTCTGATTTTCCGAGTTGAGTTTCTATGAAGTTTGAATTTTGCGAAAACACAGAAAGAAAATCGGAAGTTCTGTCTCATTCAGAACTTGTGATTTCTTATGTATTTTCTCTTGTTCTACTCATAAAAATTCAACTTTGAAAAAATCAGAGTTACTTTTTAAAAACAATACACAATCCACAGAAACTATTAGTTGAATAAAGAATTTCTATTGTTTATTACCTGTTTAATGATGAACTGTCAAGAAGGCGCTATCATTATAGACGGTCCGTCTTCGAGGCGCAAATCGCTACAGACGGACCGTCGGCGGCGCGCGATTCGACTGCCGACTGTTCGCTTTTCGGCAGTCCGCGCCCGCCAGACGGCCCGTTTTTCGGCAGTCCCCCTCTACCTGTGCGAGGATTGAGGGTGCGGCGCCGCTATCGACTGAGCTACACGGGCAAGGTGAAAGCGGCCGTCGGATTGCATACATAAAGGCGAGGACGACAGCTGTACGCAGAGTGACATTAAGCGTTGTACACTGTTACGGTAGAATGCATACTCTGGCCCCAAAAATCCCCCGTAAAATCTCCCGTCCCCCCACCTTTAATTGATTTTTCTAAATATTTCTTTATTTCTATGCAGTATAGCTTGTCGCGTACAGGACGCGATTTCATATCCCCGACGACTTCCACGAATAGTGCACATCTGTTTGATCCCTTTGATCTGTAGAGCTAGGCTTTCTCCGTATAAAAGGAGCTCAATTATCTTGATACCTTGTTCACTTGTTAAAATCACCTAACTGCCGTCACTCAACGTCTACGAAGCCGCCGCCACTATTTCCAGAGGATCGGACAAATCTTGATTCTTTCTCAATTACCTTTTTATTCTTTTAAATATTCCTCTTTTCAATTCAATAAATCTACCTATTAAACTGGACCACCAGAGCCCAATACTATCTAGCCTTTATAAGCAATGCACCACTTGAGCCAAAAAATAACCAGTCTTCTGTACATTACATTGGTGCATCGACCAAACCATTGAAGTCTTGTATTCCATTTTCAATTCTCAAAATTGTGGTTAATAAACATTTATTCTCAAAACTTCGTTGAGATTATAATTTGGAAATCGAATTTTCCAGAACTTTCAGTTTAAGCGCAATTTTACCATAGACAAAAGTTATTTGGAACATGTATTGTGATCAGGGATGTGATTTTACGTTTACGAATTTTACGAATTTTACGGATTTTAAGGTGTTTTGGTACTCGTAAATCGGTACTCGTAAAAGTGTTTTGGTACTCGTAAATCCGTAAAATTCGTAAAAACTGGATGAGTTTTTTTCCACCGTTTTTGTTCAGAATTGACAGTATTCCGGTTCATTTTCATGTTCTTGATCTAGTTTTGAGTTGATTTTATGCTCACATCTAATTTTAAAGCATGAATTTGCTTCATTTTCAAAATATTTTTTTTTCCAAATTTTTCTCACAATTTAGCATTTTTTAAGGAAAAAAAATTAGAATTGTTGAAACCCCATAGAAGCATTCGGTTCTACGATTTTCAACATTTGCGGACCATTTGCCAATTGCTTAATAATAAAACTGCAGTTTTTTTTCCATTTCAATTAAAGATTCAGTTTTTTACGGATTTAACGAATTTTACGATTTTACGAGCTTGTAATTCGTAAAATTTTACGTTTTACGAAATTAGTTAAATAAAAATTTTCCGCACATCCCTGATTGGGATTGAAATAACGTCATTTTTTATACAAAAATAATGTGAAAATGGGAAATTTATAGAGGTTGAGACATCTTTTTGACGGAGAATTAGTACTTTTTCAGAAGTAGTATTTTTCTGAGGAAATTGATAAGAAACTTTTTTCACAAATATATACTTTTTAACTTTTATGTAAAAATTATCAACAATTCCTGAGAACACCAAAGTTTACTATCTTTCACTCGGGTAGTGTCCGCGACCATCCCTGGGGCTAAAAGAAGACGTCAGATGACGTTAGGCCAGATGGGAAGAATTAGATGACGTGACATTTCCTAGCAACCACTCTGTCCGAGCACACAACGATGGTGAGACCACATCTGAGCCGCCTGCACATTGAGTGGATCATCGAAATCGATGAGATCCGTGAACAACGAAGTGAGTCCTTGAACGACTTCAAGCAGATTTCGAGTTGGTCTCCATCCGAATTGATCCAGAGAGTTCTGACGAAGAATTGACAGGCAGATGGCTCCATCCTCGGTGATGTTTGGATGCCAGATTCTGGTGAGACACTTCACGATTGGTGGACAGTTGTTGTATTCTGTTGGCACGGTGATGGTGAATCGAAACGTTCCGTTACGGTAGGTTCCCTCGTGTGGGGTTACGGTTAGGCTCATCTCGTGGACCTTGTTGGCTGATGGAACGTGCAGCTTCCAGACGTTCTGACCACGCATCCGAGCTTCAAGATCGCGCATTTCCTGAGCAATCAGACGATCACGGACGGCGATTCGGGTTTCATTGTAGTGACGATCATCGTCTTTTCCGTTGATACGTGATTGGAGGTTGAGCATTTCTGGCAATCGGGAAATTTGAATGGAACAGACAAGAAAGGAAAAAAAGAGATTTTATTGGAAAAGAAAACGAGAGGATTTATAAACCAATGACACAGAAAGAAAGTCACACAGAACGAAGAAGGAAATGAAGAACGGGGGGACATCTGCTCTTGCGACTCACGACCTCTCCCCTAACGACGAATTGAGAAAACGCGACGCAACGCTGCGCGTCGAGGTTTCACCTTTGGGCCTTTCAGTCGATGTTGGACCACCGAAGGAGAATTGTGTGCAAAGATGGTGGTGGGAAACTGAGCGATTCTTATCGCAAATACAGTTCCTTATATGTCTACTTCCGAATTTCCCAAGTTCTGAAATCCAGAAATTGAGAAATTCAATATCGAGTAAATCGTATATTAAAGTTCAGGACGAGACTTCGGAAAAATCTGAAAAATTCAGAAATATGGGAATTCAGAAGCTAAAAGTTTTTTTTTTTAATTTCGTAAATTTGAATTATTGAAAATTCGAAAAATGCCAAATTTCCAATAATCGGAAATTCAGAAAAACTGGAATATTCGATTATTTGAACTTTTAAAGCTCAGAAATTAAGAAGATGAAACATCGAAATTGAAAAATTCTGAAACTTTGAAATGATTCAAGAACTTTAAAAAATTGCAGAATTTCAGAAACTCGAAAGTTAAGAATATAGTTATTACTTTGAATGACTCAAAAATATAGTTATAACTTATGTATTTTGTAGTTTTAAAGATTACTATAGTCTTTGAACTTCAAAGAATACTGTGGATATTGAATTCGAGAAATTACAGTAATTTTCGGATTCTGAAGATTACTGTAGTTTTGAATTTCGAGGATGCTGGATGTTCAGAACCTTGGAAATCTAAAAAACCTTTCTGGAAAAAAAAGCTTACAAATTTTTCAAATATTTTCGCTTATTTGCAACATTGATAAAAAAAAAACAACAATACAAATTTATTGAAGTACAATAGAACTTTTGTTATCGTTAACAGGAATCAATTCAAAACAGTCAACTCAACAGAAACAAGCAAACGAATATTAATCAATTTAATTGTACCACAAATCCCATAACAATTCATAATCGTATGCTCCTTTTCTCTTTCTACTTGTTCTCCTTGTATTCTTCTTGCTTCCTCTGCCTGTAATCCTTTCATCAATACATTCCAATCTGCGACGCCTTCCCCATGAACCAGCAAATACTTCAATCTTCGATTCGATCCTTTCGTCCACAATTTGAAGAATCGATTCAAGTCACGAAGCGAGAATTGAGTTCCTAGAATCGTACAACGTTCAACGTTCATTGTCAAAAGGTCTTCAATTCTTGGATTCAAATGAGGAGAATGATATTCCAGCTCTTTTAAATTTCTCATTCCAGTATGTTGAAGGTTCTCTTGGAGAGGGGCACTATACAAGTGGACAGTTTCTGGTTGAAAAGCTTTCAAAACATTATGAGTGCTTTGAATATTTTGCTCGTTTGGTTCACAACTAATGACGATTTTTCTGAGTTTTGGGAACGTATTCCGAAGTGAGTGTTTATTATCAAATGTCATCTTTCCAATACTGAAACCCACTTCATAGCAACCGCATCGGAAAATCGAGCAGGTATGTTTAATCCACTGCCCTATATTCTTTTCTTGATTTGACCAAAAGAATGTTTTCGATTCGACAGTCGGCCAAAATTTCATATCATCATCCAAAATCAGTGATCGTTTTTCTATCGTTACATCAACATCGATAGGAATATCATTAAGGCTTGTCAGTTCTTCGTGGTTTTCTCCCATTCTGAATTTGAATAGGACAGAAATAGAACCAAAGTCCAAATTGATCTCTGGCCATTTCAGTCTTATTCGAGCATTTTTAAGTGGCAAATGGAAAGATTGAACCGTTGAATGTGCTTTTCTCGAAATCAATGAGTATGCAATGCTGTAAAGAAATATTTTCAATGGCACTGATACAAATGATGTACCTATTTACTAATACATGGGGGGGGCCACCCAAACTGTCAATTTTGAGCTCTGTTTTCTCGATTCCTGGGAAAGATATCAAAATTTTGTCAACTGATCAATTATCATAATGTCAGCGATAATTTATCAGTTGACAGAATTGTGATATCTTCTATAGAATTGTGATATCTTCTATTGTGATATCTTCTATTATATATATTACTAACTCGGTTTATCCTTCATCTCCCAATTACTACAAATGTATGTCCCTGTTATATCTCCTAGTTTCATAGACATTTCACGTGTTAGTGGTTTTCTCCCCTTCGTTGAAATAAATAAATAAATAAATAAATAGGAATAGAGATAACTGAGCTAAACGATGACGGTATGGATGGGCTCCTATCTGTGGGAATACGGTAAACTCACACTTCATGGTGTTCCATAGTTTTGAGAATCAGTGAGCGAAGATCATCGGGTAGACGTTTTAGAGGGAACCTCTGTTTGGTCATATCGAACAGAAATTAACACAACAGAATTTATTTATTGCGCAATATGAGGAAGGCTAATAGTAAGCTGAATTTATAAGACTAGAAAATATGTATATGAAGTCTCTAGAGCAGAGAAAACTATTGATTGGTTAATCAATAACGTTGGGGTGTTGAGTGGAATGTCTAAGTCAGGTACGACGTCAAGTACATGTGGTTCAAAAGAGTTCTCCAGGGAAAAATTTCGATAGAAAACGTGGTAGGTTGTACAGATGATGTAAGACATACTCACGCAATTTGTAGTTTTCCGGAAAAAGGTTTCGAATTCTCAAAAAACTTAAAAGGCTTGTACAAAATACCGAAACTGTCGATGATTACCATAAACAATCGACTAATAGAATGACCACCTAAATTTTCCACTTTGAGCTAATTATAGTAAGTTATTTCGGTTCCTGTGAATGATATCAAAAAGTGGTCAATTGACAAAATATTGCCGAAATTATGATAAACATTCTGCCAGTTGATAACTTTTCAATACATTCGACAAAAAACGCTTTTGGGCGCATTCTATTAGATATTGGCAGGCAACATCTTTCTAGTTTTGGGATTGTGCAGAAATAAATTATCGTTTTCAAGAAGAGCCTGTTATCATGAAAATTTTTACTACAGTGCGTTGCAAGTTTATAGGTCCACCCTATTTTTTGATTGCCACGTGAGAACCGTCAACGTCTTCATATTGGAGGCGATCGGTGCCGAATGATCCGATTCGGAGCTGAAGTTCAGGTTCCGGACCACCCAGTACATCCCAAGCCGTACGAAATCGATGTCAAGTGTCATTAATGAGGTTATTACTACTGCTAATGGACACCCCAGTTATTAATTGTCCTTAATATTTGTATTTTGAGCAGAAATGTTGAAGTGAACCTATAAATATGCAACGGTTGCAAAAGGCTGATTTTTCGAAATGGGTATATAACTCGGGTACTTTTTCAGATATCATTTTGAAATTTGGCAGACATATGTAATTTTGGACCCTGAATTTGATTTTTCAATACCCAATATGAAGACGTTGACTGTTCTCACGTGGCAGTCAAAAAATAGGGTGGACCTATAAACTTGCAACGCACTGTAGTAAAAAGTTTCATGATAACAGGCTCTTCTTGATAACGATAATTTATTTCTGCATAATCCCAAAACTAGAAAGATGTTGCCTGCCAATATAGAAAGAAAAACAAAAAAAAAAAGTTTCAGATGGACCCAAACCAATTAGCCAGCATCCAGGATCAAAATAACCATAGAGAAGACGAGTGTAGAATGAATAACCCAGAGAATAGAAAAAGATGTAACAGATGCAAAGGACCAGCTCATTCATTCAACATATGCGAGACACATGACGAGGAAGATAGACAGGTAAACCAGAATGAACGAGTACTGACAGCAAGAATTGAACCAACATCAGAAGAAGTAAGACCAGAAGAAGATGACGAAAGAAAAGAAACCTCTTCAGAAGAAGAATCATCCACCTCAGAAGAAGAAGAAGAAGAAGAACAAAATACCGAACTTTAATTTTTTTTTGTATCCCTTTATTATTGTATCAACTTTATTGTATTTTTTGTTATGACCAATCAGAATGAATTTAAAAGAATAACCCAAAATGAAAAAACACAGTAGAAAACAAGAAGAAACTCCCAGAAGATGATGACTCAAAGGAAACAAGCCAGCAACTGTAGTTTCGTTTTTATTCAAAACTTTGTTTGGAATTAGCTCAACTTTATATGTAGAATTAAAAGTTCATTCATTAAAAAAGGCATTTTTTCATCCCAGCAACATATGTCCCACTCGATGTCGATTCCTTTTTATATACGTCTGCAGGGCCCGAATTCTTTGATGACGTCGTGTTCGCGTTTCGATGAACTCTTTGGCGACTGCGTCTCGACACGAACGGCTTTTAAGAAGCTGAAAGAATTATGGGCGTGGCCTAACTTTAAGCCTAACCTGATAAAAAACATTATTCTGATCCGAAAAGTCATTGGGCAGCAATGGAACTTGTAGTCTTTGCGTTGGTTTTTCTTCAGACGCTTCGGGTACCGAGTGAAGACTAATGAAGCCACGACCAACCAGACGATCGACGAATCTAAGAATTTCTTGTTTGTCGGTATGTCTGTTTTTCACCGCTCACCTCTCATGGTCAAATACTGAAATAGCTAAACAGGCGCCACGAAGGAAGAAGCATTCCAGAGGGACTTGTCTGAAAAGTATAAATTATTCTGATTTCTTTGATCTTGAAGGGCGCCTTTGGGCCCCCTCAAATTTCTTGGGACCTTTATAGAGCCGAAAAATTTGAATTCCCTGCCGAAAATCTCACATTTCAAAGAGCTCCTTCCACTGAGGACGTGTCGATTGTGGCATCGGATTGGTCGTTGGCGAATCGAATTTGTTTGATGGAAACAGAATTTTGGGGAACAATTCCAAACGAACAAAATAGTCGACACGATCCGAGAGAACATCGATCCATTCGATTGGTGACATTTTTACTACTGAAAGAAATCTCCGTGTGTCTATTTGTCCGGATGTCGTATTTTCTCAAATAGCAGCCCGCCTTTTACGTGCACTTTGAGCTCAATTATCTCGATTCCTGTAAAAGATCTAAAAATGTGTCAACTGATAAAATATTGTTCAAATTGTGATAAGTAACGTATTAGTTGACCGAATTTTGGTATCTTTCACAGAAATCAAGATAATTGAGAGCTCAAAGTGGACGGTTTGAGTTTGATTTTATTAAAGGAAATACGGTATGTCTGTTTGTCCGGATATCCAGATAACTTACACTTGATTTGAATGGATATCGTATTCTCGTCATCCATCTTAATGTAGGAAATATGAACATCAACATGTGGCGAATTTCCGAATCGAGTTCGATCGATTTTTTCGCAAAGAGAATCGTAATAGGAAAGGATTAGATCGTTGGTTGAGAAACTGTTCAAATGGAGGTCCGATAATAAATTGATATCTTTTCGATCATCGATTTCCAAAAATTCGTAGATGTACTTTAGAGCAATCTGGAAGAAAACGTTGAGATTCAGAATCTTTTTCAGAATTTTCCAGAATTACACTCAAAAATTTCAAGAATCCTTGAAATTAAGAAAAGTTTTAAACGTCTGGAAATCCTTGAAATTTGAAAATGAGGAAAAAGCTCACATAAATATTACTGTAATACTCTGCCGGTTGCTTTTGTCGTATGTTCTTTCGAATTTCCGTCTCCAAAGACGTTGCGAAATGCCGAGTGGACAGTTTGAAGCAGCTGAAAAAAGAATGAGATGTATGTCTGTGTGTCCGAATGTCCTTACTTGGGCAGAAGAAGACATCTGACGTCATCAACCAATCCATAACAACACTCCAGAATACTTTCAATTCGTTCCGTGGCCGATACTTCTCGCTTATACGATTTTTGGAACTGAAAACTTGAAAATACAAAAATTCAGAAATCCGACAATTAGTACGGTATTCTACCGTTTCTATTCTTAATAACCCTCTTTCCAAGTCTACAGGAGAGAAATCTCCCCCTGGCTATACATGCTAGAGATAGTCGGGTTACGGTGCCCGCGCGAATTCATATGCGCGCCAAAACGCAATTCCCTTTTTCTTTTGGCAATTTTCCCCGTTTCTCCTCAGTTTTGCTTGTGAGGCTGTTCACGTTAGTGAATCCTCCATTTGTTCTTGCTCACCCGTTTGGGTTTTTAATAGTTATTGTTGAGGCAATAAACAGTTTTATTAGAGTACAGTGTGTTGTGCTGTTCATCTAATTTCAGGTTACATTGGTTATTGAGTATTTTCAGGTTACAAAAGGTCTTTTTGACTGCTTAGGTTTCTTTGTGTCTATTGAGTGAGTGCATCGCGTTTTTCTGTTGCACTCTCTGCGTCTCTTAGTGTGTAATAGTAACTCCGCGTACTAATTCAAAAATTCAATGATTCAAAATTTCCAAAATTCCAATTCTCACCAATCCACCATTCGACTCTTTTCCATCTGCACACAAATTCTTTGCAATTCTCATCACTATGTCATTTTTCAAAGTCACAAAATGTGACAAAAGTGTCGAAATTTGAGTTTCACAAGTGTCTCGAGTCGACTTCAGAAGACGTTGAGACGTCGTTCGAACTGCAGCGAGATCATCTTTGTCGACGATCTGAAAATTGATGCTGTTTACTTCGTAATCTTAAAAAATATTCCAGAATTATACTAAACAAGAATAGAGCTTCATTTTTGTTGTTGGCAGCTTTTTTGTGCAAATGCACCCTAATGGGATACGGCGAGTGGAAGTGGCGAGCCCGCATCCCCCCTTCGTAGAGAGGTGCGACGCTTCTATGCGTCAAATCTCATTAGGGCACTTTTGCACAAAAAAGTTGTCGATTATAAATCTAAAGCACTATTTCTGTGTAGTACCAGCAAGCTGTTGCGCTTTCGGCGCGGTTTCACCTAATTTTTACTGATTCGCTACGCTCCCCATTTTTCAAAAAGTGTCACGTAAATCTATATTTATTTTTCAGCTTTTCAAAAGTAGACAGCCTGACACCGGGACAGACATTAACGTTTTATATATAAGGAAGATACTCTGAAAATTTTGAGACAAAATGAGAAATTCTGAACTACTTTTGAAGGGCTTTGAATGTCGAGTTCGGCGAGAAAATCTTTTTTGATCATTTTTCGGCCGATCATTTTATTTATTTTTCTGAATTTTCAGAAAAAAACATACCTCCTCAACTCTCTGAAACTGTGCAAATCTTCTATAACCCTCTTCCACAAAACACATGGCCTGCTCAATCCCATTTGTGGCTCTAACCAGTCTCGACGCTTTTTCCTCGTGATTTCTCATTGCCTCATTGAATAGTTTCTTGGCGTAGGTGTTGATATTTTGACACATTATCTTCAAAACAATTATTTAAATTCGGTAGAGAAAAAAGCTCAAAAATGCTAACATTGATCACGGAAGCAGAGCAAATGACCAAATGATGAGGGAGAGCGAATTCCAGTCGAGCCATATCGTCGGATATTCCTAAAATTGAAAATTATCAATTTTGTAGTACTACCAAAGTCGTCCAAAATTATTCGATTTGTTTGTAAATTTCAGAGTATGCTACATAAAATTAGAGCTTCATTTTCGTAGTTGACAACTTTTTTGTACGAATCCCACCTAGTGAGATAAGCGGATTCAAAGTGACACAGTTAATTTAGTACTAATTTCAGTGCTATCTCATCGGAATTCGGCAAAAAGATGGCAGTTACAAAAATTAAGCTCTTATTTTGTTTAGTAATTTTTTAAAGTTAAAAAAACTACAGTAACCATGAAAATTCAAAATCTAAATTAATATTCAAATTCAAAAATACAGTACTCTATGAAATTCGAAAACTACAGTAATCCTTCAAAATTAAAAGTAGAGTACTCGATGAAATTTACAAACTACAGTAATATTTGAGATTCAGAAGCTACAATAATCTTCCGAATCCGAAACCTATAGTAACCTTTTAAAATCAAAAACCACAATAATCTTTTTGATTTAAAATCTACAGTCATCCTTACCTTTCTGAATACACAAAAACGAATATAATCCAGCTGGAAGTGGTCGTCGTGCTCCATATTTCACAGAATCTCCATCCTCATCCAGCGTTATCGTTCTCTCGACCATTTTCTGTGTGACTTCTCTCCAAGAATACGTCCAAAATACAGTAATCTCTTTAAACCATTCCTCAAAATGAAATAAACGACAATCTGGTAGATGAAATGTTCCAATCAAATTCAAAAGATTTCGAAGAGTCACAAAAAGACGCATTGTCGTTTTTGTGAAATTTTCCAATTCGGTCGGATTTCGATGATTGATTTCTTCGAGTTGATTTATTAGAGAACGGCGGATTGATTTGGCGAGCTGAAAATTGGAAATTTCCAGATTTTTTCCCACAAATATCTGATAGTTGAGATCTAGAATTTCAAAGAAATTATATATCTCGGTTCCAGTAAAAGACATCAAAAACTGGTTGACTGGCAAAGTATTTTAATATTAGGATAAACATTTTATCAGTTGACCTCTTTTTGATATCTTTCACAGGAACCGAGATAAATTGGTTCAAAGTTGATAGTTTTGGTGGTGTTCTATGAGTGTTTCAGATTCAAGATTTTCGGTGTTGAACTTTTCTTTTTTCAAATTTTGAAGATTCTAACATTTTAGATACTTCTTAGAATCCCAGATTTTAAATTCTTAAAACTCTATATTTCCAGAATTTCAGAATTTCGAAATTTCCGAATCTTCGAAATTCAGAATTTTTTCAAATATTCAATAATCCAGAATCCCTCTAGACTCACCGACAAATCCAATTTGAGCATTGCTGCTCCAATATAATTAATATCAAATTGATGAAAAAATATACAGTACGGATGGCTCTCATTGCTCAGCGTTAACCACAAACTCTGCACTTGTCTACATAAGTCATGAAATTCCATTTTTTTCAACGTCTCTCCGTATTTTTCAGCACTTTTTTCCAGAAGTTTCTTAAGTTCCAATGATAGGAAATTCGATGGATTCGCGAGATTCTCAAATTCGTCCCAAACGTCCAAAATGCAAATATCAGTGATAAGTTTGAGCGAGGCATTGATAGTTTTCAGGCGAGATGAAGAAACTGGTGGGAAAAATGGTTCGTTTGAAAATGGTTGAAGAATGCATCGAATTGTATTACATGCACAGTCGTTTAGGTAGATCAGAGACGGGTTCTGGAAGGTTTTTCGAATTTCGAAACTTCGAAAAAAAAACAAAAAACTTCTAAAACCTATTTTTGTTCCAAAACACTAAAACTGCAATAATCTTTCATATTCAAAAACTACAGTAATTTCTGAAATTCAAAATCTACAGTAATCTTCAAATTATATCAAAACACTAAAAATAGCTTTTCTCCACATGGTCGAACTTTCCATGGCCTTAAAAAATCTAGTCCATCAACTCACCAATAATGGATGCTGTAAATCCACTTCCGATTCACATGCAGTCATTTTCAGAGTGACGTCTGTTAACGCCTTTTCGTCTAGTTTCTGAGAAAAAATTCAAACTTTTTCATTTTTTATAGGTACAAACCTTCATTTCATCATCCCAAACCAGAAAGCATGTCATTTCTCTGAAGTAATCACTCTTTAATTAATAAAAATTCTTCGAATGAAACATACGTAATTTTCAGCACAAAAGATGGAATTTCAAAGAAAAATGCGATTGAATAGAACATGGAAAATGTTGGGTCGCCCAGATTTCCATCGTATTGTTCTAACTGAAATTTTGGGAGTTTCAGGAATGATGGCCTAGTAATTTAACTTCGAAGATTTGGATTTTTCAAGGCCACAAAAATTTTTGACCGAGATTCTAAATGTCTGAAATTCCACTTTTTTGAATTTTTTAATTTCCGAAGTTCTGAAATTCTGAGTCTTTGGATTTTCGGATTCTTCGATTTTTTTTCATAATTATGAAAAAATAATTATGAAAATATGAAAATGGTAATTATGAAAATGGTATATGTCTAGGGACGCATATAGGATGCTATGTGCACCCATATCAATTCCGTGGGTAGCGCGTGCGCGCTATATGCGTCGTCGCTGGGCACGACTGGTCGCCGGTGGGCGCACCCATATAGCATCCATATAGCATGCACGCTTTTCCCATGAAAACGACAACCCACCAACGACACTCCGCTATTACACTAGTGCGCGTTGTTTAGCAAAATTTTTCACCGCCGATCTTGATCAATTTTTCGATCATATTGATCATATTTCCTGCTTTCAAAGAACTTCTCACTGTTTTCACATGTAAAAATTATGGCTAACGAAAATAATTTTTAGTAAAGAAATAGGTAAAATTTTTTACAAAATCCGGTTTTTCTTGAAATTAGGACTTTTCTGTTTTGCTTCAGAATCAGCGGAATAATATATTTTTCAGGTGAAATACAGGTTGGTTGGTAAGTTTTCCGATTATTACGAAGTAAAAGTAGGAAAAAATCCGAGAAACACAAAATTGTTTCGAAAACAAAATTAGGCGAATTAATGCCAATTTCAAGACTTTGTTGAATTTTTTTCAAGTTTTCTATATCGCAATTTTGAAGGAAAAATTTATTATGTTATATCATCCAGATGTTTTTAACTTCCTGCCATAATTTTTCTTGCTGTGAGAAAATTCTGTGAAAACTGAAAAATAGTCACTCTGTGAAATCTGAAAGGGAAAATGAACGATATTGGAAGATCTGAACAAAATCACATCTTATTACAACTATAGTTAGATGAATTAATCCATATAAGAGATATCCATCGCCAATACGACCTGAAATTGTAGATGAAATATGGACGCGTCATGCCCCATCTCGATGGCGCGCAAACGGTGTACCTATGTCGTCCATATGAGGCGCCGCGCCAACGCATATACCATGCGCAGCCGTTACCCTGTGAATTCTGTATTTTCTGATTTTTTTTTTCAAAATTCTTGAGTTTCAGAATTCGTGAATGTGTGAATTTTTAAATATCCAAATCTGAATTTGCGAAACTTTGAACTTCGGAATTCCGAATTTTTCAGAAAATTCTGAACGATTTTGCACAAAAAGATGGATTTTCGAGAACTTGCAACACTGGCCTAGAAAATCCTAGTCCACTACCACCAAAGTCCATCTCTCACCTCACAATTCTCAGCTTGCCATTCATGAAAACTTCTTGTCATCTCCAAAAAATCATCGAAATCGAGGGGGTTTATTAGGTTTCGATGATCATTTCGTTTCAGTGTCATTTCCAATAAAACACTTTTTCCCGAACCCAAATTTATATTTTTTCGAACCGAAATATCCAATGGAAATATCGATAATTTCAATTGCTCATCCGTTGATTTTCGCTCGGAAAATGTCAATTTTCGGAGAAGAGATGCTGATCTTGAGGCGCCTTTTTTATTCGATGTACCATCTTTTTTGGGATTTAAAACACCAAATTTGAGGGTGACTTCTTTTTGACTTCCGAATTCTCTGAAAAATTTCAAGAATTTTTTTGGGAGAATTGGAAAATCTGAAATTCTGACAAAACAGCATTTCGAAAACTCCAGAATTTCGAATATTTGGAAATCCAGAAAAACGAATTCTGAAATTCAAAAATTCAGAAAAGTGGCATTTCGAAAGTTTCAGCAAAAAAAATAGTAATCTTAACATTTTCTTTTTTTTAAACTTACAACTTTGTGATCCCTGTGGTTTTCAATTCTTGTTGTCTGCAAGCTTCTGGTCTGGAAAATTGAAATTTATGAGATTCGTGTCTTTTTTTAATTCCATTATTTCTTGCACTTTCAACCTTTTCCTACAACTTTGAAAATCAAAAATGTCGGAAGTTTCAGAAAAAAATATTCAGAAACTCAACAATTCAATTAATTTAATTGTGAGATATGAAATTTTCAAACATCAATTATTTTGGAAATTCCAATATCAACTGTTTTAATTTTCTTAACTATTGACAATTTGAGAATTTCGAAATTCCAAACATTTGGATATTATGATTCAGAATATCGAAAGTTCTGAAATTCCAAAAATTCAAAAAAATCGAAACTTAAAATTGTGAAAAGTCTTAAAAATCAATGAGACACCTACTCAAGAACATAAGCAAAAACATTTTCTGGGCATGTCGCTGATGTCCCATTCCCTCCAATCGGCCGTATTTCAAGAGTGAATGTTTGCTGAAAATCAACAAAAATTATCAGTGATAACTATTTTTCTTTATGACTCACAAATTTTTCGCACTTTTTTCGCAGCTGACCGAGATGATCTCTGATTTTAAAGATCTGAAAATATTTCTTTTCAGAAAAAAAATAGCTGAAACAGAAGAAAATTCCAAACAAACTTCTGAAAATCGATCGATAATCGATTCCAAATGAATCGGGTCTTCACCGAAGCTGATTGAAAGTGCCGAACAAATCGATTCCAATGACTCTTCTCTCATTTTGAAAAATAATGAAAAAAAAATTCTGAAAAATTGTTTGGCGGCGAAATTTACAGCAAAAAAAGAGGAGAAAAACTGATAAGGAAGGGTGTAAAACGAGAATTTTAAGAGCAAAAGACCTCATGTTAATCACACATCATTTATCGTTTTTCTTCTCCTTTTTTTCTTGACTGAAAATGTTTTTAAATTTCCAAATTTCAAAATTTCAAGATTATTTGAAATTCTGAAATTCAGTAACTCAGTAAAGCTGAATTTTCAACTTTTGATTTGTTTTTTCTTGTCTAAAATTTGAAAAAAAAATTTCCATAAGTTGCTTTTCCGTCAAAATTCATGAATTTCTACTTTCAATTTTAGGACCTCTGCATCTGGCAGATTCTAATTTTTAAGAATTTTCGTTATTTTTTTTGGAATTTTAGAATTCGCAAGTTTAGAGATTTCTGGATTTCGTAATTCAATCGAAATTTGGAATTTTTTGAAAAAAACAGGTGATACATTTTGTAGTTGGCTATCTCCAGATTTTCAGAAAATCAAACTTTCAAAATCTGAACAATCGGAATTTCTGATTTTTCGAATTTCAGAAATTCGGTAATTCAGTGATCCTGTATATATATATATATATATATATCAATATCAGAAACCTCATCAACATTTGTGATTTTTTGAAAATATAAAATTCGAAATTAAATTTCAACTTTGATGGTTAAAATACTGTGAAATCCCGGAATTTCAAGATTTACAAATTGCAAGTTTTTGAAATATGGAGCTGGACCTGAAAGACTCAATGTATTTTTGAAATTTCAGAATTTTCATTTCTGTTCTGGATTTATTCAATTCGTGAATTTACTACATAATTCCTGCAATTCTGATAGCCCAATTTTTTGCATTTTTGAATACCACATTTCAGAGTTTAGAAACTTTTCAATTTTAAAATTTCTGAACTTCAGATTCTTATAATCTGAAAATCTGAAATTTATGAATTTAGAGATTCTGATATTTCCAGAATTTCAGAAAACCTAATCTTTGAAACGGTGGTTTTTTTTTTTGAAAAACGGAATTTCCGAATTTCAAATTTTCAGCTCTTCTGAGTTTCAGAAGCTTAGGAATTCCTAAAAATCAAAATTTCAGAATTTCAGAAAACGAAAACATCCAAAAACGTTTAAAATATCTTAAAAATAAAACCGTTGACAAAATTTCCAAAAAGTGCAGAAACTTCAGTCATTTGCGTCATTAGAACAACTTTCTTTATCACCAGAAATTACGTATTTTCGTTTAAAAAAAATCCCTTGAATTCCCTTTGGGCATTCGAAATTTGTCAGTGTATCTGAATTTTTTCTAAACTTCAGAATTTTTGGATGTTTCGAATTTCCAATTTTCTGAATTTGGTAGAATTTCCTGAATATCCAATTTTCTGAGTTTTCCGAGTTTTTGAATTATTGAGTTGTTATAATTTTCATTCCATTGTTTTAATAAAAACCGAGACACATATTTTAGAAACTTATTATGATCCATATACATTATTTTTCAGAAAACAGGGAGCAATTATTGCGAGAAGGAGTACATATTAAAGGGACATCCGGACAAACAGAGAGAAAAAGAAACACCGCATTTTGAATATGTACACACTCCGTATCAAGAAAGGAAAATGGCCGAGTTGTTGAAAAGAAGTGCAAGTGCGCTCTGTTAGACTAGAGCGCATTTGCTTTTCCAAAAAAAAAAACTACACGAATTTCAAATTTTCCATTGGAAAAAGAGGGAAAAGTACAAGTAAAAATGGAACATGTATGGGGGTGGGCGATATCGAATTATTATATATAATAAATGTATTTCAATTTGCAACTTTTTTCAAAAAATTTAAATTTGAAAATCGTCGGGTTCCGAACTGGTCGTCGGGCATTTCGCATTTCGTGCCGAAATCGGTTTTCGCAGTTTTCTTTGCGGTTTTTTGATTGGTTGATAGAGTTCATCACATGAATCTTCGTCGCCGAATTGGTGAATATTTGGATGGTCGTATGGAGCAATAACGCCTTCAGCACGTTCGTCCCATGTCCAAACTGTTGTTACGCCATCCCACTGGAAAAAATTACTTTAGAAAATTTTTTTGATTTTTAAGATTTAAAATTTCAAGAAGAGGTTTTTAGCATTTTTCAAATTTTTCGTATTTTTGAAAAATGTCGGGAATTTTTGAAATTTGTGCAAAACTTTTTGGAATCGTAGGAATTTTTGGGAATTTCAAAAAATTTCATATTTATAATTTTTGAGGGATTTCTAGATGTTTTGGATTCTAATATTCTTTCAAATTCCAGTCCCCAATTTTTTTTTCAGACAGGCGCACTTTTTGGTTTTCCATCATCTCCAATTGTCATTTTCATTTCCCTATTTTTCGAATCACAGAATCCATCATTTTCCTTTTTTAGTCTAAAAATCAAATCGAATGTTTTGTATGAATGAGTGGTGCAAAAAACATAAAAAAGGAAGTGAGAGATACGGACACTGAAAAAAAAGCAAAAAATGATGACAAATAAGAAGAAAAATGACAAAACACACCACTCTGGTCTTTGTGATCTAGAAATTTGGAAGAAAAAATGAAGGAAAGAAACTAGAATTACCGTAACCTTCAGCTCAATTATCTTGGCTCGCCTGAGAGATATCGAAAAGTTGCCAATTGTTAATCAAATTATCAAAAACATTTTTTTAGTTGATCACTTTTTGATATCTTTGAAAAGAGCCGCGAAAATTGAGCTCAAATTTGAAAACTAGGGGCCCTTCTATTATAGGTTTTACGAAAATCAAGCTCAAATTTTCGAAAATCCCGAAAGTCCGAAATCTCCGAGAACCCTCAAAAATCCCTACAATACAAAACTCTTTGAAATCTCGAAAATCTTTTTAAAATTTTATATGGCCTGAATTTCCTGAAAATCATCTTAAAAGCCTCAAAAATCTTGAAAATAGAAATTTTTTTTAATCTAAAATCTTTGAATAGGCCATTTTTTTTACAATCAAAACTAGGACCATCTCACAACGAGTCAATTTGAAAACACAAAAAAAACCATGACCTACCGAAGTGCTGACAATTTCATTCTCCTGTGGATGCCAATCACACTCCCGCACCACTGCTTGATGCCCTTTCAGGCGGCGGCTTACTGTACCCGTCACAATGTCGTAGACTGGAAAAAATGAGGATTTTCAAACATGGATGTATTAGTTTCTGGTTAGAAATCCTCTGATAGAAGGGCACTCTACTTTGAGCGTTAATACAGAAGTCCAGCAAAATTCGGGGCTACTGTAACCGGTCAAAAGCCTATTTTTAGCTGAAAAAACAACCAACTTTGAAGGCCTACAAAAGTATTTCAGAATTTTTCGACTTTTCTGAAAACTTCAAAGTATACTAAACAAAACTAGAGCTTTAATCTTGTAGTTGACCACTTTTCTGTGAAAATTCATCTATATGAGATATACCGCTCCGCGCAGCGCGGCCGTAGGAGTCGTTGCTCTTCCATGTGGCCCATCTCCTCAGGACCACATTTTACGAAAAAGTTGTCAACTATAAAACTAAAGCTCTACTTTTGTTTAGTACACTCTGAAAGTTTCTGACAAATCCAAAAAAAATCTACTATATTTTGTAGACATTTAAAATTTGGCTATTTCCAATTAAAAATGAGTAAATTTAATAAATTTCGGACCGTATCTCGATTTCTGTTCGAGTTATCAAAAATCTGTCAACTGATAAAATGTTTCTGATATTATGATAAATATTTGGTCAGTTGACCATTTTTCAATATCTCCTACAGGAAATGAGATAAGTCGGGTCAAAATCAAGGATCCTAAACTCACCAACAATCTCTCCTCTCGCGCATCCCGTATAGATGAACCGTCTTCCAGTGTTTTCCGGTGAGAATTTCGCTCTGACAAGTGTATGCAGTACGCTGTGTCCCCGGAGTGTCATCACAGACGTATCACCTTGGACCGGTTGACACAATCCAGGCGGCGCCGGTTGCCATCGATAGTCCCAGTGTTGACTCTGAACGCACGCACGTGTAGCTTCCTATAATGGGTATAATTCTACGATTTTTTCTGATAGTGAGCATCAAATGTTTGCTATTATTTTGGCACAAAAAATCGGAGCTGTGTCCGTGGCCGGAGCTCCCACAACGAAAACTAACGTAACCAAAAAAACCGGAGAATGAAAAATATTTCTAGGTAGTTTTCGTTTTAGGATTCGGCCACGGATACAGCTCCGATTTTTTCGCCTTAGAAAAAATGCCCAAACTTACCACTCCGCCTTGACACGAGAACTTCCGCAAATCCCAAACTTTGATCGTCTGATCTTTGGAATTGCTCAGCAGATACCGTTCGTCCTGTCTCGAATCCACGTACGTCACACCGTCCCGATGTCCGGCAAAGACGCCGACAGGGATGACGTCACCATCGGACCACGCTCGTTTGTCCCATACCTGAAACTTTCAGGATCAAAGTACCGTACTCTAGAGACCTGCACATCAATCTGTCAACTGATAAAGTATTTGTGATACGATGATAAACAATTTGTCAGTTGACAATTTTTGATATCTTTCACAGAAATCGAGATAATTGGGCTCCTCTGACAGTGCACATCAAACTATACACTTTATAATTTTGAACTGTTCTATGGAATAGGAAAAAAATATGACAAAAAAAGAAAAACAAACACTCACTTGTAATTTTTTGATGATAAAATTGGGTCATTGTCTAAAACCAGTTTTGTAGTTTGATCAACAGGTACCGTCACCCTTCTAGCTTCTACCGTAATCCACCTACCTTCACCAGACCATCATCTCCCGCACTGTAGATCAAATTCGAGCCGTAATCCGCGAAACACACCGAATTCACGTCATCCTCATGGGCATTCACAATCGTTCGAATCCGTCGACGTTGCTCAACGTCGAAGACGTGGATACTGTATTCAGAAGTCCCACAAACGATTTGTTCGGAATCGTCGGAGAACCGGACGCAGAACACCGCGCATTGGCTGGAAAAATAGGCTTTTTAAGGGCCGATTTTCGGATAAAATAATGGTAGCCTAGGTTTCCTAAAGTAAAGTTAGGCCAAGGGCTTCAAATCAAGTTAAAGGAGGACTCCGACCAAAAATTTTTATTGCATCAAAATGTTCGAAAAGTTGTCTATTTTCCTAATATTATAGCGAAAAATTTCGAAAAAAATCCGAAATCCCCGAAAAATGCCGTTAAAAGCGAAAATTTTTCAAAAGAAAGTTGCTAGGAGGGACGAGGATTTGAATTCCCGCGCAGTGAGAAACCTCGGCCACGACGCCTGACAGCCGTTTTTTCAAGTGGCCGACAGTGTTTTTTTTACGTTTTTTACCTGCCGGACATGAAAATCGAAAAAATCCGAAAAATTTATCATGTCAGAAAGGTGCTATGATGCCGTGGCCTAGGTTTCTTACTGCGCGGGAATTCAAATTCTGTTTTTTTTCAACGCCGTTTTTCGGGGATTTAGGATTTCTTTTGAATTTTTTCGCAATAATATTAGGAAAATACATTTTTTGAAACATTTTAATGCAATAAAAATTTTTGGTCGAAGTCCCCCTTTAAAAATTGCTCAAATTTCCCCTTTTTTTTTTGTTCAAAACTCACTTCTGCACAGCATGTTCCCCATGCCAATCAATAGGAAACCATGTGATATTTTGATTGTCCTCTTGTTCCATACGTCCAATATAAACGGCGTCTTTCCACGTACAGTACGATATCAGATCGCCTTGTTGGTTGACAGCCGTATCGAGATCGACCAATTGCAGTGGTCCACACGGAGTTCGTTGCATTGATAGTATCGGGAGCGATATTTCGATTTTTCCGGATTTCGTTGATAGAAACGAATTTTCTCGTCTGGAAAAACAAAGTCAAAAATTGGCTACAGTACCGAGCTTTTTCGAGATGGCCCAGCTTCGGAAAATTATGAAAAAAACTGGGCCACGAGACACTACTGGCTACTGTAAGAGCAGGTTTTCAAGATGGCCTAACTTTTTATCTAGGATGGCTAACTTTTCGAGAATCTTGGAGTAGAAGTTTTCTAGGCTTCCAGAAGCTTCTAGATGGAACTTCCAGGGAGAAATCTGCTTCCCGATAGCCTAGAAACCCCTCAAATGGAATTTGTCTTCCACACCACTCACCCTGACTCGATACAACCATTTTCCGTCCATTCTGAATGTACTGTGCACAGAAATTCTTCGTCCTCAACTGATCGACACGTCGCTTTTTGTTCGGCAAATGCGTATTCAGAAGGTGTGCTCGCGACGCCGACGTCATCACGGGTCCATTTCGACGTTGGACGTCACGATTCAGAATGTTCCACGTGGCGTTTGACGACGTCGACGGCCGTGGTCCACAACGATGATTGATGTCGGTTCGAAGTTGATGACAACTCTGTAAATCCAGTTGCGAGACGAGATATCTGAGATTTTCTTCTTCTGCTTCTTGGGCCATTTTCAGAGTTTTCTGATTTTTAGAACTAATAGAATCCTCTAGAATCAGGGAGAAGATCCATCTCATTTAGCCCCATTCCGCTACAGTAATCCCAGGACGAAAATCCGTTTTAGGACCCTTCAAAACTACAAAAGACTACAAAAAACCACGTGGCTGAGCTCGAAATTCAGATTCGAGACCCCGGAAATTCCGGGGAAAAAAATCGGGGCGATCGTTTTTCGAAAGAGTAGATCGAAAAACTTTTCTTTCAAATCACACTTTTTTTTGGCATTTCATTGGTCAAGAAGTTCCCCAAAAAATGATGACTATTCAAAAATCATGACAAAAAGCATAGAATTTGGCTACTTTGTAGTCTATTTAATGTTTCCCGTAGCCT